GGAAGGTGGGTTTGGATGTGGGGCAGTCATACTTTCGCTGAACCCTGTGCAGACAGGGCTGATTGACCCGATTAAGACCAGTAATCCTTTGGCTTGCCTCAGATCACCACGCCCAGAAGCCGTAATCCTTGTGACCCTTGCAGGTGTATACATACCGACATGCACCCGCTCTAGGGTGTTACATTCCTCATCACTCAGATAGTTCTAGAGCCAAACATTCACAAATGTACAGAGCAAACTTTTACATTCAAACATGACCTCCTAATAAGGAGGAAGGACAGGCAGCCTGTGTTTACTGTGTCACGGGACTGTCAGCTGAGAGGCACAAATGCATGTCATGCAGCTCACCCAGTTTTTAGCTGAACTACTCGTAGCAGGTGTCTTACAGAAAGTCACACAGTTAGTGTATCGACGAGTGTGTTAAACTAGCTGTTGAAGCTAGGGAGACTGTGTGCTAATATTGTTATTGTTACGTCTTAACTCACATTTAACATTGCACCTGGTATTTTTGAACCGCGTACAAGCGCTCTGTTCTTGGGATGGGTATCGTTTAGGTTTTATCCGATACCAGTACCAAACCGGTGCTCGAACCGGTGCTTAAAGAATGGAGAACACAAAATTGGTCCAAAAACCTCTCATGTTCAGCTGTTTTTTTGTAAAAAGATAACAATGTTAGCCTTTTCTGCAGCTATAGGGGATTTATGGTATCACTCTTGGCTGGAAGCAGTGCTTAAACAATGGAAAAAACACAAACTTTGTCCAAAAACCTCTCATGTTTAACTGTTTTCCACTTTTTCTTTGGTCATTTTAGCCTTTTTGGCCAGGGTGAAGGGAGTATCTGCCATCAAACAAGAAGACAGCCGCATGTACTAGAGTGTTTGCTAGTTCACCTTACATGCATTAATGTAATAACGTGGTTAGCCTACTCAACGTAAATTACACACGAACAACATTAAGCTACTCACGCAGAGAAGAACGGCTGCTGCTGCCATCATCATCCGTCATCATTTCTGCTACACTGGCAGGGCTAGGGGCCAGGACTCTCCTCTTCGGGTTTTTGGGGGATGTTGCTAACTCCGGGTCAGCTCTGCTCTAAAAGAACTACGTACCTGGGCCCGCCTACTATCCTGGAAACGTAAAATGATTGGCTAGAATATAAAGTGTATGACATCTCAGGAAAAAAAAGCACCGAAATAAAGCACCGAAATGTGCGCTGCTTTTCGGTCTGGTTACTACCGTTTATGTCAGAACCGGTACCCATCCCTGCTCTGCTCACCCTTACCTGTCCATAAACATATTTAAATTTGTAAGCAAGACACCGACTTTTCATGGAGCATTATTGCTAAGTGCACACTATCTGCCTAGCTAGTGTGTGTAAATAATCGTACTAATACTTGTATAACATCTTTCTAGACAGAGTATTCCAAGTACTTTTTATTTTTTTTACAAAAAGCAACATGTACCCATTCAGATAACCACTCATGCAGCGCTTTATTCTGTGCCTTTTAAGCACTTTCTATCATATGCACACTGACTCTGATGGATCCATCAGGAGGCATTCAGGATTCACCATCTTGCTTGAAGCTTCTTTGACATATGAAATGTACCAAGCCATAAACCCTAGACCAAGGTACACGCCAAACTTATAAACAGGAAATAGAAACCCTGTAAGGGTCTGATGAGCTGTGCCTCATGAAACCACCGTCATATGTTCTGTGGTTGTCTTCTGTAGTAGTCAAAGCAATAACAATACTAAAACATCTGCAGTGAATGAATAAAAGCTTCTCTTTTTCTGTATTCTTTGCCTTTTTTAAAAATGCATATGAGGGAAACCCACCATATGCATTTTATATTTTGTTATAATATTTTGCCTTGTTCTTCATGACGCTCTGTTTGGGGTCAGCTTTGCAAATTGTTGTTAAATGCTGATGTTCTGGCAGTTATTGAAACAGACTGGTGGACATATGTTTGGGACGTTTGAATAGACACGGTCACTTTGTAATAGCATGTAGGCTGCTGAATGCTGACCTAGTTACAACAATACTAACCATAGGTTTTAATCAGACATTCTCAGGTACTGGAATCGTCTCTGATTCTCAGATTCTTTTGATAAGCTTCTCTTCATGTGTCACATGTTTGGCAAATGGCACCATTCTTATTTAAGATGAGAAACAAAGCATTCCACAGAGCGCCGATGGCCTTACCCATTAACACCGAATTATGTTTCGTTAATAAGAACCCACAACAGTGCATTGCACATGAGGGTGAAGCTGCCATATTCTAGATGTGGCTGAGGTCAGAAGGGAAAGTGTTAAACTCAAAGTGGTTACAGCTTTGTAACTGACCAAGTTTCTTGTGGTTTTCACTTCAGTTTTTGTTTGCTTTTTGGCAGCTAGGTTTTATTTTGTTTCCAGTGTTCCTCCTTTTAAACATTTTACTTTAGTCAACATCAATTTACTTACTCAGTAATCTACATATTTATGCACACTCATTTGCTCAAACTGCAAACAGTTTTTCATGTTTAGCATGTTGTTTAGACCATAGTCTGTGGAAAATGGGATCCTGATGTCAACTGAAGTGAGTGACACAAGGCATTGTGGGATTTCTTGGTACGGAAACTATGGAAGGAGTCTGAGCAGTAATTTCTCAGACTTAGAAAAACTGTGGACACAGCGACGCTTGCTGTGGTCGAGCTAGACTAATGAAATATCTTAATAACATGCAGGGCTGTAATGTACTGTGTATTATAAGCCGTGGACTGTCAGTAACAGAAGCTACAGCCAAACAGAGAAGAGACATCTGCTGTTATATATCAGCGTCCTAGCAGATGGATAGAAACATCTCCTCATTAATTGATGCACTCCATCTATTGAGCTGACGCAGCCTGAGATCTGGGTAGAGTTAGCTACTCGTCATCATGGTTAAAGATTAAGCCATGGCAGATTTTACTTTTCTCTCCAGAATTTTAGTTCAATAACTGGATTTTTAAAATGGTCTTCTTTGGCTCTCGGGGAGATTTCTCTAAGCCTAAACAATTATTAACCCAGAGTATAACAGATGTCTGCTTTAGAAGACAGAGAGGCTCTCACTGAGATCACCCAACCATTCTCCATGTTGACACAGATCAGGCCAGTTGCTTTCCTGTATTTTTTTTGTAATAACCTGCATTTGCTTCCTTGTTCAGCTTATTATGGAAAGGAGTCTTGTAATTTCCATTGTTGATTATTTATTTGCTTTTTGTTTTTCTGTTTTGTCATATCTTTGTGTTTTAATTGCTACATGAAAACAAAGACACCACAAACCTCTTTTTTTGCAAACACTTGCAGCAAATGTCATAGTTGGATGACGTGATCCTCGGTTGTAACTTGAGGGCTTGAGGCTCAGCTCCAGATGTCTTTAAGCGTAGGTATTACCAGTGCCATAAAGCAGTACATCTGGAAAAGCAGCATACCTCCTGATCTCACGAGGTTTATTTTTCTCACATAGCACACTAGCTAGAAATTTGCCATACTCATCTTATGGTTATGTTTTTTTCCATGCATCCCATTGGTTAAATTCTATCTACCTCATTGTTTTTAGCTTTTCAGCCTGCGACAGAGATCAGAAAATCTGAGTGAGCCTTTTGCAGGAAAAAAAGTGGGATATTAGAGGAGCTGACTGGTGGGGGGGAGGGGGTGTGCAAACGCAGCCGCAGCAGAGAGACAGTGAAAGTCGTGCATGAGCACACTTCACGTGTAGGACAGCGTGAGGCAGCATCACATAGCAATACATCGTGAGCTTTTGGTCATAATTATGATTGAGGCTGACCGTGCATGTTTGTAGCTTAGCTACCAGTGAAGGGAGACAGTGCCATTATTTTTTTACATCCGTTAGTCATAATTGGAAGCCTGTGTTTGCATTTTCACTTCATTATTTAAAATACAAAATGCGAACAGAAATTAGGAGAAATTGAGAGATCTCTGTATTTAGGCTGGTTCAGTTGTTTCTAACTCTCCTTGTTTTTCTTAGCACTGAAAATGTTTCTTTATCACTCTGCTTGTCTCCCTCATGTTATTGCATGATGGCTAAGAAGAATGCAAACATTAAACGTCTGCACAGGATAATCAGCACATGCAGGGTTCAGAGTATAGGATGATGCTTTTGTGCTTTCATTTGATTACCTGCACACCACATAACCAGCAGGTATTTCTTTAAATGTCTTTGCGTTCCCAACAGCCTGCATCCAACACAATTCATCTCTGACTGGCAGCAAAAAAAAAAAAAAAAAAAAGCCAAGATAATGGCATGTTTGTTATCATGTTCCGTCAGTTCTTGGCTTGCTCCTCTTCCCTGCTCTTTGGTTCGGTGCTTAAGTTGACTGAAATGGTCAGACTTTCCCACATTCAAGAAAGTGAATGTGTTTTTAAGTTTTTTGCCCTCACCGACACAGCTCTCTTTCCAGACTGTGTTGTTTGGTTTCCTCCCACAGTCTGGGGCTGAATTCAGAGGCAGCCCAGGGAGCTTTGCAGTCTGAGCACGAGTATCTTGTTGGTGGGCATCATGCTCCCTGTGTATTATTCATGCGTCCAGAGTGGAGGGGTTGGCAGTGTAATATTTTTGAAACCTTAATTAATCAGGCGGGACAGCTGACCCATGACTAGGTCAGGTACTGGATTCCTTTGCTGGGAAGCTAATGAAGATCATTGGAGTGTACACCCACTCATATGCATATGCATGCAGCACACAGACTTTCACACATCGCTTTTGTTCTCTGCAGAGAAACTGTTCTGTGAAAGGTTCACTCATCTAATGTTAACATGATGCATCAATCTCTGCTTAACCTGAATGTTTGGTTTTTTGAAAGATGTACACCAAAGGAAAAGAAATGCGCCTGCTCGGTGTTCATGATGTCACAATGCGTACAGAAAGCCAGGGAACATTTAAAGTAAGACTTGCGTTGCAGAGTAGAGGCTAGTTA